TGGCGTGGGTTGGGGGGTCCGAGCCGCGGGGGGCAGTGCCATGCACAAGCACCAGCACTGCTGTAAGTGCCCCGAGTGCTATGAGGTGACCCGCCTGGCCGCCCTGCGGCGTCTTGAGCCTCCTGGCTATGGGGACTGGCAGGGGGCAGACCCCTATGGGCCAAGTGGGGGCAATGGGGCTAGCTCCAGTTATGGAGGCTACAGCTCACAGACCCTGCCTTCACAGGCAGGGGCTACCCCAACCCCTCGCACCAAGGCCAAGCTCATTCCCACAGGCCGAGATGTAGGGCCAGTGCCCCCTAAGCCAGTCCCCGGCAAGAGCACCCCTAAACTCAACGGCAGTGGCCCCAGCTGGTGGCCTGAGTGCACCTGTACCAACCGAGATTGGTATGAGCAGGTAAGGACCATTGAATGGGCGGGTGATGGGGTGGGGGCTGGTGGGACAGCCCAAAAGGACTAGGGATTGGGGTCTAGGAAGTCTGGGGAACAGTAGGGGTTGCTGGGGCTCCAAGTCTGTGGCCCCTGAGCCGTAATACTGTCATTGACTAAAGAGATACTGTTGCAAATATATGTGCTTCTGTGTGTGTTTAGGGGGGTCTCCATTTGAAGGGGATTGGGAGGAGCTGTTTGTATCAGGGGTGATGGTATGGCGGAGGGGCACATTTTCTAGTGTGGGGGATTTGGGTTTGTCTCAGTGTGGAGAGGGAGGAGGTTGGCAGTGTCTCTGTGTCTGGCAGGGGGCGGGAGGTTCTGCGGGGGTTGTATGTGGTGTGTGTCTCCACAGGAGGGGAGGAGGGGGCATGGTGTTCTGCGTGGGGGGGACATATGTGTTTGTATGTATATTGGGGTGTGTGGAGGAAAGCAATGGAGCTTGTGTGAATGTATGTAGCGGAACCCATGTTCAGGGCTGGCTGAGCTTCATCTCTCCGTCCCAGTCCCTTTGTGTGAGAACGTGCACATGGATGTGTGAGGATGGCTCTCTGAATGTGGAGGTGTCTCTGTAGATGAAGCTGCAGGAGTAGCTGTGTTTGCCTGTGTGTGTCTCCATGTATATGTGTGTGAGCATGTGGTTTCAAGAGTGTACACGTGTGTGTGCCCGCGCACGCGTGTGTGTGTGTGTGTGTGTGTGTGTGTGTGTGTGTGTGTGTGTGTGTGTGTTGTCCCTGGAGGGATGCGCTTGACAGGAAAAAGAGGGGAGGGGGAGCAGGCAAGACACGTCCCAAGCAAGGCTGAGAAGGACAGACTCTTTTGTCCAAGCTGCTCTGAAGTGTATGCTGTGGGGGTGGGGGGGAGTGGGGGGTGTTCAACAAGCCTTCTTGCTCCAAAGCAGGCATATTGTCTGGAACCAAGCAAAGGGCAACTGCCCTAATGTAGGGTCTGCCCCGAGTTGGGCATGGTCCTTGTAGGTACCCACAGATGTGGGAGAACTTAGCTCCCCAGCTCTGATTTGGCACAGCTTGGAGCCCCTGGGTGCTGGGCACAACTCCGGCTTCCACTCCCAGCCTGAACTGCCAGCTTAGAAAATGGAAGGAGCATCTGTGGGAGAAGCAGCAAAATGGAGGCTGGGCCGGCAGAGCCAGGTCTCTGGCATGCATGGCGGAGGGCCTGTCTAGTTCTTCAATTCTGCAGCCCCCAGGGTGAAGAAAGAGGAAGCTTTGCTGTCGATGGCAGGTGCTGACTGCCCCAAACTGGTGGCCATTCTGACCATCCCTGTCCTCCTCTGAGGATAGGATGTGTTTTCACCTAGAAGCAAAAGAGGGGGCTTCTTGGAGAGAGGAATCCTATGTACTGTCATTCTCTCTGCCTACACCTTTTCCTGTGTCCCTAGCCTTGGTTCCTTGCCCTCTCTAGTGAGTCCCCCTCTCCTTTGCCCCTCCCTTACAAACACACGCTCATGTTTGGCCTGCCCAGTGGAAAATAGTTGCCAATTCCAGGGCTGGGCCCGTTGGGTACCGTTTCTTTACCCAGGATGATCTTTGGATTGCTCCTGACCCTATGGGCAAGGTCTCTGAGTGGGAGTGGGACCAGGACTAGAGGGTGGACTACTGGGAGCTGAGACCTCCAGGTACCACCCAAACTGGGCTTGAGGCATGGCTTGTCACATGTGGGCACACATGGTGCACCAGGAGCATGAAAGAGCTGCATGGGTTTTCTTTTCCTCTGTATCTATTGCATTGTACTTCAGTGAGCTGTGTTGGTTTTGGGGAGGGAAGTCTCTGAAGAACCAGAGGTTTTTCCTCGTGGGACCAGGGTGAGGCTTCAGCTGGAATCCTACCACTGACTCCTTAAGACTACAGAACATGAAGGAGGAAATAAGGGAGGCATGGCTAGTCAGCACTCTTGAAGCCAGTAGTGCAAAGGATGAAAGTGAGAAGTGGGAAACAGAGCAGAGTATGTTGACGAACCCCCACCCTGGCTTTCCAGCTGTTCTTCTCTGGGGCCAAAACTTAAGAAAGGTACAACATGGCCATAGAAATTTGGATCAGTTCTGGGACACGTGTGGAGAGAGACAAGGGGGCTCCTTCAGTCTTGAAAATGAATGTGGGAATGAAGAAGCAGGTGTACTTGTCTGTGCAGAATCAGATTTCCACTCGCAACATGGCCACAAATATGTCCTGTCAGGAAGGCCACATCTATGTGTTGCTGAAAACAATCTGTGTTTTTGAACCGTTTTCTTGCCTGTCTTCCCATGGCTACTGTATGTTAAAGGTCACAAATTGTGCTTCTAATGTCTATGGGTCATCAGGTTCTCCTTCATGGGGAATTTTGTCTACTCCAGTCCTGTCCTACCCCTTGTTTGTCCTCAGACTCCTGGCCAATTCCCACCCCGACCCTTTCTTCTGGGACACACAAAGGGTTTAAGTCAAAAGTCCCTTGGGAAAAATGGATTCGGATTTTTACTCCTATCCATCTGAGAACTTGTATTTCTGGAACCTTTAAAAGGAGGTGTAAAAATTGGGGCTTCCAAGGTACTCTGACGGGAATAACATGGAGAAGGGATGAGTAGCCAAAATACCACTGGCCTTGAAGCATCCTATAACCCAAAGAGTACCTGGACACATTCTACACCCTAACTCCCAGTGTGCCCTTAGGCACACCTTACAACCTCTCTAGGCCTCAGTGTTCCCAAGTGTCATGTTAAAGTGATGGATAAGATGGTGTCTGTTGATTCCCCATATCTGACACTATGGGACTATATGATCCTGAAGTCAGGTGGAACTGTGGTTCAGAAATAGAGAGGTTCCCTGGCCAGGCTTCTGGGCACTTCCTATTGATGTTGGGTGTGGTATAGTTTGCCCACCATGCTCCATCTCTGCCATCCCCCTTAGGCCAACCCTGCACCCCTCCTAGTGAGTCCCGAGGCCCTGGAGCCCAGCCTATCGGTGAGTGCACCACTGATTGGCTCAGTCTCAGACAATTGATCTGGGCTAAACAAGCAGCTGGGTTTGGACTTCTAAGGTTGGACACAAGGGGAGGGTGTGCTCGCTTGGGGTCAGCCTGTCCACATCTGTGATCTAGAGATGCCCTGTGGTGTGCTTGAGATCTTTGTGGGAGTGGGGAAGGAAGCAAATTGACTAGAGGGCAGACGGCTGGGAGGGCAGGGAACACTGAAGTGCTTCTGTCTCCCCTTAGGTGAATGGCAGTGACGGCATGTTCAAGTATGAGGAAATAGTACTGGAGCGGGTAAGTTTTCCAGTAGGGAGGGTGGGAAATGGGAAGCGAGGGTTGCATCCAGGAGAGGGGAGGGAGCTGAGCAGCATTTCCAGAATCACTGGGGAGCCTTATTGAGAGCATGGGGAAACAGGGCCCTCAGAAGCCAGATCTTTGCATCTTGGAGTGGGGGTTGGTCTGCTGAGGCCTCCCCACCAAAATGGTCAACATAGGCTGAGAAACTACTAGGTTTCTGATGAATGTGCCCCATCCTACCATGGGACCTGAGAAGCTACTCTGGGATATAGAGGGAGGTGGAGTGCCAAGAACCCTTCTTTGTGCTCTCAGAATGAAATGACTGTGCCCTTCCACCCTCTTCTCAGGGCAACTCTGGCTTGGGCTTCAGTATCGCAGGTGGCATCGACAACCCTCATGTCCCCGATGACCCTGGCATCTTTATTACCAAGATCATTCCTGGTGGAGCAGCTGCCATGGATGGGAGGCTGGGGTGAGATGGCCTGGAAGCAGGGCTGTGGGTGGAAGGGACAGGATGGAGAAGAGAGGACATGGGCCAGCCTGGCAGGATGACTCTTCCATTAGATCAGAGAAAGAGAGGGAAAGGAGGAAGGGAGAGGAGAGGGAGGGTAGAGGAGACACGGTAGAGGGAAGGTGGCTTAGTGTCATGCCTCTTGGGTTTTCCCCACAGGGTGAATGACTGTGTGCTACGAGTGAATGAGGTGGACGTGTCGGAAGTGGTGCACAGCCGGGCTGTGGAGGCACTGAAGGAGGCAGGCCCTGTGGTGCGGTTGGTGGTGCGGCGGCGACAGCCCCCACCTGAGACTGTCATGGAGGTCAACCTGCTCAAAGGGCCAAAAGGTGTGGCCCTCCTGGTTCCTACGTTCTAGCAACCCACCTCAGGCACTAGGTCATGGCTGTCCCATGGAGGAAGGGGAGGGAGTGGCTTTTTCTCCTACCATGAGTCCTCCAGTCCCAGCTCATAGCCTTCTTTCTTGACCTCAGGTTTCAACCCTTACTGACCTTGGGATGCCAGGCTGGTGTTTGGGATTCTTGGTGGGAAGGGCGCTTTTGGAGGGGATAGTGGGATAGCTGGGAGGGAATTGGCTTTGCAGTGAATGATGCATGCTAACCGTTCCTTTTGGCCCTCTCCCACTTCCTGCTGGCTGCCATCTAGGCTTGGGTTTCAGCATTGCTGGGGGCATTGGTAATCAGCATATCCCAGGAGACAACAGCATCTACATCACTAAGATCATTGAAGGAGGAGCTGCTCAGAAAGATGGACGCCTACAGATTGGGGACCGGCTGCTTGCGGTGAGACAACCTTCATGGGGATGCCCAAACAATGGTGGGGGGCAGCTCTTGTGCCTTCTCAACTTCAGTAGACAATGAAGCATTTTGGAGAATTTCAAGAATATCACCTGACTTGTGCTTACCCAGATAATAAGACCCTAGTTCTTCCCATGGTGGGACCAGCCACCTTTATATCCCTTTAACCCTACCCTACTTGGACCTGTTAGTATACTGAGAGAGCATTCCTTTGAGCTCCCTGAAAAGGTTTTCCTTTCTAAGACCCACCCCAGGGTGTCTCCTCTTCTAGGTGAACAACACCAATCTGCAGGATGTGAGGCACGAGGAAGCTGTAGCTTCACTGAAGAACACATCAGATATGGTCTATCTGAAGGTAGCCAAGCCGGGCAGCCTCCACCTCAACGACATGTATGCTCCCCCTGACTATGCCAGCAGTACGTACTCATTGGTCTTTGGCCCTGGTTTCAGAGGGGGGTAAAGCGTCTGTACCCTTTGTTCAGAGAGAACAAATACAGATGATAGTGTCATAACTGAGTCCAGGTCTCAGCCCTGTGCTTGGGAGTTGGGTGTCCTTGGGCAAGTTCTTTTCACACCTTTAGTTTCCTCTTTAGCTTAAAGGAGCTAATGGTATATATGCTGCCTTTCTCATTGGACTGGTGCAAGGATCAAATGAGATCATGGATGAGAAAGCCTTTGGAAAACTATTAGGCTACAGAGATGTGAGGGATTATTATTAGTCACACCTCTAGTCATGCCTTTCTTTGTAGACTGCCTTGACTTCAGCTCTTTCTAAGAGTCACAGGAGTAAGCCCAGGGTTTAGAAAAGGGCTGTGGAGGAGGAACCCTGGGGTGAGGGGTGGGGAATGGATAAAGCAGAGAGCAGTGGCCTAGGGAATCAGCATCCCCCTCCTTTTTTTGCACCTAGGGTAGGGTATGTGGAAAAATCCTTGGAGGGGGTTGGGGAATATTCCACAGTGGGACATCTCTGGACCCTCTTCTCTCTTTTTTTCACCTCAGCTTTCACTGCCTTGGCTGACAACCACATAAGCCATAATTCCAGCCTGGGTTATCTCGGGACAGTGGAGAGCAAGGTCACCACCTACCCTGCTCCTCCTCAGGTGCCCCCTACACGCTACTCTCCCATTCCCAGGCACATGCTGGCTGAGGAAGACTTCACCAGGTAAGACCCTACCCTATCCTTTCGACTTAGAGTGGAGTGAGGATTCATTTTCTGGGCGGCGACAGGCTTTCTTGTAGTATGGTCAAAAGGAGGATAAGGCCCTCTTCATTTTCGGCTGTAAGACCTGAAGCCCTTCTCTGTGAGGCCTTGGGACTCTAGAAGGGGTCAGAGGC